CTTATATTTTTTAATATAAAATAAATATAATAGGCAATTTGAAAGTATAAAAAAAGTATATAATGTTCATTTTATTCGTTTTCACCACATTTTCCACATATGTACTTTTTCAGTTTAGACAGATTGAGTCTTTCAGAGAATTCAATTACGTTGTATATAGAAAATTCTAATCGAAATTAAAAAAAAAGTTAATTTGACCTGTCGTGGTAAGAATAGTGTTAAGTAAATTCAACAATAATTCGATATCAAGTTGATATTTACATTTTTTATAAAAACAAAAAACGTTCACTGAACGTACATCCTTTCAACAAATGTTTGATAATATGGACATTATTATTTACAATTCACTTACTAAATACACAATGATATCAATTGGATAAGTCGACTTCTTTGATTTGACTTGACTATTAGATCACAATCTAACTAAAATAAAATAATTTAATTCGTTCTCAAACTAAATCAATTCACAGCGTATTATGTTAGGTAAGTTTACGTTACTGCTTGTACGTGTACAATAAACAATACAATTTCTGTATCAATGATTAACGTTGCTTACATTATGTGTTGCATTTAATATTGTTTAGTACACATTATATTTAATTAGTGTATGTAAGTTATTTTTTTAAATTTTCAGAGATAAAAATATATTTTGTTTGTTGAGATTTTATTTATGAGATGATCATTTGTCTATATGAATTGGCTTCGTTTTGCGCTGCAGTTCAAATTGTTGGTATTAATTATTACTTAGTTTATTATATTTTCCTGTTCGTAGTATATATAAATATCCGTTGCGCGTAATTGAACAATTTTACTTTGTATTTATAGATACAGCCATGAATAAATTCGTGATTAATAAAATCCATATGCAATGCAGGTTTTTATAAATAAAATATTCATGAATGCAGTGGTGACTGCATTTGATTACATTTTAATATTTAAATTAACTAATAGATTAATAAATTTATAAAAAAAATCTGTAATACTTTTCATGAAAATATGAAAAAAAATAAATCAATAAAAGCTGCAGCTGCAGTGTTTTAATAGTATTACATTTAATATACCGTAATAATCGGTTCCGTCAATATCCCGGACTATTTGAAAAGGGACTAATTGAGGACTTTAAAAGAGTCTTGACTGTAGAGAGAGAGAGGAAAAAAAGATCATTTATGTATAAAAAATAATTTTGTGTACCTATTAATTTAATTGTATGTTGTCGATTAAAATTTAGTTTGGTTTGAAAGTTTTAAAACAAAGTTTTATAACAAATCTAGAATGATCGCACTTTTTTGCGAAGAAGGTGGATAAAATGTGCTGGTACTGTGAGGTTGATAACATCCCTGAGCACACTTTTTTAGGTACACTCTGTTAGATATTTATATTCTAATAATTAATAAAAACATATTCTAGTTGAGAACTATACATTGCATTATATATATATATCAAAGAACGGTACAGATAGGAACTTGTTTACTCCATGTTGGGTCAATACATATAGAAGCAACATTTTCCAACGTAATTTTACTTTATTCTAATACTGTTAGTAATTTCATATATAGTTTTATTTTCACATTGTTTAACCCTTTAACTACTGAAATATATTAACAAAACTGGCTGTGTAAACGTGGAATAAAAATAATTTAAATTTTTTATATACTTATGTATATTGTGAACTACTTTACATTTAAAAACTTTGTAAATATAAATAACACAATATTATTATCAAAAACATATTTTATGTAAAATTGAAATATGAAAAACAAAATTGGAATTTTGACTAATTTGAACATTTTTATTTCAGGTTTTTAAAAATGTATTCTTGTGCGATAAATTTTGTAACAGTCCTTTATACAAAGCCCTATTTTACACTCGAGAGACGAAGTTTTAACATTTTCTTTTTGATTTTCATCTCGGACAGTATTTGTCTACATTCAGTAGACGGAATATTAACTGGTGAATGCCTGTCCATGAAATTTACTGCAGCTAAAAGATGAATGGTTTCCATACATTATCTTTCAGGTTAAGCTGCAGAGTAAGCTGCATGTTTTTGTGAAATTTATCTCACGATATTTGTAATAATACTTTTTAATGCGGTAAAAAATAATTATTTTATAAGAAAATTGCAGGTATATAGTACTAAATGCAATATTACTACTACATCCACATTCGGAAATAAAATGTGGATAAAATAAATAGCTCGATATAATAAATACGTAATACGTTATAAAATATGATAAATTAATCATAAAATATTTGTGTATATGCAAAGTGTAATCATAAATAAGTTCCGAGATAACAAATTTTACAATAATATATAGAATGGTCATTAAGCGACAATCGTATCTTAATCGTAGCATACTTCATCAAATCGCTTATTGACGACAGCCGTACCTCATAAAAGTTTCGTTTCGCCGTCTATTGACAACAGCCGTAGTTAAATATGTTGTAACAAGTTGGTACAAACTAAACCCTAGTTTAAAATATACATACAAAAACTTATTTAGAATTATAGTAAATCCTTGGACGATGCATCAATTCCTGGATAATTCCCGAACTAATTAAAAAAACGCCTTAGTTTTCGAATACAAATTTCGTTCCCAAATAGAAAAAAACACAAGTCTAAACTGTCAGCGTCTTCCACTCCTCCATGAATATAAAGTGATATTAACTGTTTAAAAGTTTAAATAATTTCATTTATATGGTGTTATGTGTGATTGACTGTTGTAATTATTTGAGCTTCGATTTTCGTACAGCGCTTAAGAACGAATTATATTCGTTATATTATATTTTGTTAATATTATATAGATGATATTCAGAAAAATATAACGACGCGATGCCGTAAATGCAATACAGAAAAACAAAATAAATAAAAAATATAATTTAATGAGTACATATTTCTGTTTGAAAATTACACTATACAATTTTCATGTGGTATATATAAATATATATATTTTCTTTTGGGTAAATTACTTGAAACGTAATGAATTTTTCTGCAAAGGATATGTTTTTCAAAAGAGGAAAAAAATTCAATAGAATATTTTCATTTTAATCCAAGCTTTTGACCTTATAAATAAAGTAGGCAGGACACGTAGCGGTCGCAAAGGCGGGGGTCGCCATTTATTTATTCAGGCAATATTCAATGGAACAAAACATATTCCTGAGCGCCGATGTATATATAGAGTGCTGACGCGTCGAGAAGGATGAAGATAGAAAGCTAAATAGGTATATTGTGGTATGGCATTCACTCACATGCTCTGCTGCTTTTATGGAAGCTCTTAACATAAGTGTAAGGATCTGCTATATTTAACCTTGGACTTGAACCTACATATATAAAACGTATAACATTCAGCCAGATAAAATATTAAAAATTACGTATCACACGTATCACATCTAAACATATAATCACACGATGTAGAAAAGGAAAATATAACAATTTCTATAGCATGGTCAAAAATGTATACATAAAACGTGAAATAAAATACAACTAAATCATTTCATTGACCTTAGGTGTTTCAGCCAAATATTTTGATAATATTTTAATAATATCTTTATTTCATTGCCTAAAATTATTTTTTACTTTTCCTTTATTTTTTTTTTACCATGTTATATAAAATATGTTTCATTCTAATAATATTTAAAGTTATTTAATTATTTCGATTTTTAACAGTTTGTTTATTTTTATGAACCTAGTGATATAATATTGTATCAAATATTGTATAATTTAATTATATAACACTAATACTAAATTACATTTATAAAATAGTTTTGTTTGTTTTAATTGTTTGATATATTTTCAATAAAAGATTATTTTAATTGATTATGAATAAAATATTCATTTTTCCTCCCTGAATATTTTTTTTTCAATTATTACTCGTTAAAGATACTGAAGATCAATTCTGCTGTACAATTTCATAAAGATAACATTATCACATTGCTTTTTATGTTTATCTACCGAGAACGGTCAATTTGATCGGTTGAAAACTTGTTAATATTTATTATTTTAATATTAAACAATCGATACAAAAGTAGCAAAATTACTTAATTTTTAAGTAATAATGGAGATTAAAGGATGCTCATATATTATTGAAAACAAAGATGTATGACAAGTATTTATACATTTCTTACAACATTTAGTTAGGTTTAGTTAGATCATAAAACACATTTTTATACAAATGACAAATATCACTCATCAGAGACCAATAATGAAATATAAATTATTTTGAATAAATTAATTTGGAAGACGAAATTTATTTTTATTTTTATAATTTTAGAAAGTATCAGACTTATAGAATGATTTAAACAACATATTGTTAAACATATTAATTATTGTTAAAATACGTAAAAATACTCTTACAAACATACAAAAGGCAATCTACTATAGTATTTCTGCCCCATATAAATAGATACTGTTTTAGGGGGTTAAAGCACTGATACTTGAGACATTTTTCTTTAAAAATATACCTTTATTGAGTAAGACACGAATATTGGGATTAAATTTGTTTCAAATATGTGTTTCAAGAAGTGAATCTTTGTTTTAAATTCTGATTTTGCTTAGAAATTAATATTTGATAAGAAAAACGAGATAAATAAAATAGTAATACAAAAAAAACATCAGAACATTTTATGAATTTGTTACATTAATTTGACTATAAAAAGTATTACTATATAAAAACATATATAATTTTATTTAAATATATATTTTTAATATAATTATTATATAAGGATTTTTTTGTGTCTGTTGGACAGAAAAGAGAATATTTCATAAAGAATCTAAACTACAATTTGAAATAACTGGTGATTGTGTTTATCAATGATAAATTTTGTAAATGACATAGCTAATGCGTTAAATATTGAAACATCCCTAATGGCAAATCGTGTGTGGAATTTGAAATTTGCAAAGACTGTGACATAACGTCATAAGGCGGAAGCGGCTTTTGATGTAGGTCAAAATGCATGTTTGCATGCAAAAGTCCGAGGGGAAATTACCATGGGGCAAGACTCACCGGACTCCTGGGCCCAATCAATTAGGGATGCGACCCTTGAGGAGAAGCTCGAGAAGCAGTTCTCAAAGCGACCCCGGGCATCCAGACCGACCGTCTCGAAGTTGCTCTTCACGCCGCACATGAGGGCTGTAGCACAGGCAGACGATTCACCGATCTGCACGTCCATGTTGTAAGTCTGCAAACAGAAAACAAGAGAAAAAGATAGAAACATAATTACACTTAACGCATTCATTCGATGTTCAGCTGAGTCCTTTAATTAAAAACTTGTTCTTGCAGCTTGCATTTTAAATTCCAAGCGGAGCAGATTTTCAATGGGGAAATATCACGTTTGCATGCATTTACGGCTGCGAATCCTTCGTTGATTGCTGCCCTATACTTCGATATCGATGAATCGCCTGTTCATACTTCTTTATTCGTCATTTTTTTTGCCCTTCCTCTGCATTTTTCGAGCAGTTCAAATAATTCATGAGACTCGAATTATTTATCGACAAAGACGTTGGTCTTTGTGCCACAATCTCATTCGCGAACTAAAGTAAAACTATAAATTGAAAGTCCTCGCCAACATCGCAATGGACCGTAAGTGGCTTTACTTCACTGTACATGTGTGTGAAAGAGAGAAAGACATATTCAATTACTTAATTGAATGCTTTATTGCTTCTCTTACTTCCGACCGATGCTTTCTTTTCTATCATTATTTCACCTCAGCTTTTCGCATTTGCTATATGCGGATGTCTGATTCGAGATTCCTACTTTTTCTGCTTTCATGATTTTCAGTAGCCGTTTTTGTTTATTATTTGGTAAGTAGGAAATAAATTCAACCTTTAGTCGTTTCTATCTGCTTGCTCAGATACATTAGTCTATATTACAAAACATTAAAATTTAACATATATAGATTTAAAGTATTTTTTAGGTAATATTTGTTTTAATATGGATTATGCCTATTATATACATGTTATACCTAATATACACGTTAATATTTATTATATAAGTATCGCGGATTTAAATTTTGACTATTTATTAAACACAATAAGAAAAAAAATCTAGTTAGATTTGATGGTTTAATTAGTAGTTTAGCTTTTGACAATTTAAATATTTTTATAATAAATTTATTTTTATATATAATTGAACTATATATAATAGATTCTTTTCAGAAGCAGCTCTCAAATGCAACTAGAAACTTATGATTTATATAATATCTGTATTTTATTGCAATATCTGAATATAATATTATATAATTAAATCATACATTTGAATGATATTAAATTAAATGTTAAATAGAATACAATAGATGCATTCAACCTACGTTATACATTTTTATTAGATTTGCTTTTGTATCAGTAACGTAATGTTAAGTATTCCATAATACAGTTATTATTCACATAACGTGGTACTTATATAACACAATTTCGATATAAATATTAGAATTTTGATGTAACACCTCACTCAATAAATTCGCAGGATGACATATTGATGGCGCTTCTATCGACAAATCCATGTGATTGTCAGAAAGAACCAACCTTCAGCCGACGGCGGTCAAAATTTCATGGCAATCTGACGTTTAGTTCACCAGTTACAGTGGTTTTAGTTTAGCTTAGTACTAGGAAGGCTAAAAGTTAAATTTTATTACAAGAGACAAAATGAAATGTTCATAAATAAACCATAGTTTTATGAAATATAGCATAGATTATATTATGTGAGCCTTTTGAAAGGAATTTTTTTATAAAGGACTTCGCCGTGAGTCGACAAAGAATTAATTTAGAATTTAAAAAAATATAAAAGGGCTCGAATTTGATATTCTATGAAGTATTATAAAGTAAGGAAAAAGGTAATTAGTAAGTCGAGACGTAGTTAATTATTAACTATGAGTATATAATTTCATTATCGTTCAGCTTTCATTTTCTTTACGAAGAAACGTATCCTCATTTTGGCCATAGCATTTTACCTCTTACAACAATAATTTTCTTTAAGTAATTTCGTTGAACGCATCCTATTTTTTACTTTAGGTATGACAGCATTATATTAATAGATCTTAGGAAAGATAATTTTAGCTGTATTCATTGAACAGTATATCGAAACTCGAGTTAATGTTGAGGTACATTAGGTTAAGGTAAATTTGGTTAGGTAAAACGAATAATATCTCATTTTTGTTATAAAGTCTATAAAAGCTCTAAATTTACCTATTTACTACATACTATTATGATTTACTTTATGTCGCTATTAAAGTATGTAAAATAACTAGTTACGTAATAATATCTTTCTATGATAGTTAAAGTATAGAATACTTTAATTTTTTGATACTTTAACTACTTATTATATGTAATACCTAGTTATTCTACATTTTATACATTTTACCGGTAACATATGCATTTCTATTAAACCTTTAACTTTATCTCCTCTCCAAGTACAAGTTAGTTTTAGTTTGACTGCATATTGCCGTCAGACTAACAAATTCGTTTCATAAGTTTTGGAAAACAGTATTCATATAATTCTGCCGGTATTTTCAATTACTATTTAATGTTGGATGAGACACACTTTTAACTGAGTTCTCCAAAATTATCAAAGAGCAAAATTTCCGGAGATTTTCTTCAAATATTTAGAAGTGCGGATTGAAAGAGTAGACAAATAAATACATTAATATTATTGACTTTATATAAAGCGAGAAAAATTTATGATGCAAAAGTTCTCTAGGTTTGAATATTTAATGAAAAGCGCAAACGTCAATAAATATTTTATTATCTAAGAACTGGCACTGCGCAACTGAATGTATGTGAAATTTGCACATTAAATTTACAATAGATGCACATGCATTTTTGGCCATTGCTAAAATTTGCTTATTTGTTTTAAGACATTAGTATCATTATATCTCCATAATTGTTGTAACAAGGTGAATTCATGAAATTACGATAAATAAACAGGATAATCCTATATGTACCTGCATTCCATTACAGAGACACATAAGAAACTTAGTTCCATTTAGATAGCGTCTGTTAGTACAAGTTACGCGTACGTGAATACGTCTGGTAAATAGTTGTGTAGTTCATTGTGCAATTTAACAGCACCAGTTTTGTTTCTGTTTACGTTTGCGTCTGTATGTCGGGCACAGCCTTTGGTGGTGCGGTATTCAAGCAGCGGATGGGAATTTAGGGTTGTAATTATAGGTTCCTGGTGCGATACATGCGTCGGTGATTATTGTCGGGGGAGTCGTGAATGGCAACCATTGGAATGTCGTCCAATTCTGCGAATATTTTTGGTGGGCCGGTCACGTTTGGGTTTAATGTCATGGGGATGGGGAGGTTTGTTTCGACCGCTGCTGGGGTGGCGCAGACACGATGGGGTCGCGTTTAACGTACGTGTTTCGAAGTGTAAAAGGCGAAGGCTTTTGTGGCCCAGACAAAACTTCCGACATTCGTCCGACCTACGACGCCTTTACAAACACGTTAATTTATTAAGGAAAACATCGGGAATGAGGAGAGACAAAAAAAATACGAGGTCGTACGTGATCTGAACTTTTACAATGTGAACGTGAATGTTAACTGTACATAGGCAATACCATATAATTTTATTTAAAATATACTTGTTAACATTTTTAATATAACTAGGTTTTTGGTAGATATAAAGATTTATAATAGGATCAACAATTTGTAATTATAAAGGATTATATAATATCTATAAAGTCTGTATATCATGGGTTTTCAATCGGTTTGTACCCTGAGGCACCATCTATATTTTATGCAAATTTTTCAGGCTAAATGAATGCCGGTCAGTTAACGTCTACAAGCATTCGGTTCGTGTTAGAACAGCGGCGGCACACACAAATTATTAGACAATTGTAAAGATTGTTAGACGTTTTAGAACAGTCTTTGCGAACAACTTACATTTGACGAACGAGATTACAGTGTATTTAATTTAATTAAATTTGCATCATTCTCTATTTTAGGAGTCGGGAAAGTTTTTAGTCCTCCCCATTATATCGAGATTCAAAAATTTTTCATGGATATAAAGAATGTTAATTGTGAAAGTCCTCATTATTCCCAAACATTCAGTTTAACCCCAGTTTGGGGTAATTTACACATGTTCACCGACCCCTACTCTATTTAATTACTTATACATTTTATTTCTTATTTTGAACAAATGTCATGTTAGGGAACAGCAAGAAGTTTGAATTAACCACTAACAGCTCTTTAATGAAGCTTCATTAGAACATAAATTGAGAAAACATTATTATATAAACCACGATGAACTCTAAAATACAGACATCGTGTTAATTCAGTTATGGTAATTTGAGTGTTATATATAGATTAATTTCAAAGCATTTAATGAAACATTATGTAGCCGTGAAATTTAATATAATAACTCATATTATATATGGATTCATTTCACGCCAATTACGCTCATTTATAAAATAATCTCGTGTAATTTAAATTATCATTTATTAAAAGTAACATATTACACAACTAAATTTAGAAATCAAACTGAAAATTGAATAAATAAATTAAATAATATATTTACAATGAGTCAAATTAAAATAATATCAAAAATTTGTTTTTTTTTTACTGAAATTCAAAATATAATAAGATTATATTCTTATAGCAATTTTTAATGCAGAAGAAAAGAAAATATCCGGAAATTGCGCTAAAATATCATTTAAATAATTTCCATCGAGAGCAATGACCGATATGAACATTTAATCATTAACTTAGAACCAAGATGCAGAATCCGCTAAGGAGCAATGACCTGAAGCGAATCTTTTTATCAAAAATAATCCTCAAAGTTTCACCTCCCTAGTTGTATAGTTAATTTTATACATTGAATAAGTATTTCTAATTAGTCTTAGTAATATCGTTAAGGCACAGACTGCATTTTTAGTCTTCATCGTTAGCGAAAGTAACGCCCTTCATTTGATTCAACATGGAACGGAAAACATGATAATCCGTTGGCGTAAGGTCTGGAGAATATGGAGGATGCAGTAGAATACCCATTGGAGATGATTTAGAGCAGGGGTATCCAACCCATGGCGCCCGCCGACCGTTTTACGTGTATTTATTGGCTATGCCAATAGTGCCCGCCATCCGGCTCGCATTCTAGAATGTGCTCTTGGGTGCAAAAAGATTGGGGACCCCTGAGTTAGAGCCTCTTTGGTGATGTTTGCGGTTTTTGGGTGAAGAAGGATGACGT